ATATATAATAATACGATTAAAATTCGATTTTGTGTCGCACACAGGAATAACCTGATAGCTTCGATAGCACACACTAGCTAAAAAATAGGCTAAGAATTAACCTGAACACCTTTGCCAACAACATTTGACAATTCCAGATGATATCAACCCCATTGCATAAGCCAGAAAGCAAACAGCAACTGGACAGCGGAATTGATGAACTCAAGTACGGGGCGTGACACATGCTGCCCACAAAAGCCTTTCCGACTACACACAGTCACACACACCTATATATATATATATACATATATCTATATATTTATATATATAAATTTATATGCATATATATATATACATATTTATAGCTGAAAGCGGCATGCGCGTTTGCTTTCATATAAATCAAGTTAAAAATGAGTTGAGCGACCCTCTTCAAAATATTTAATACCGCAAGTGACCCCTGTCCAGTGGTGCGACCGGACCCGAACCCGAACCCGAACCCGAACTCGAACCCGCACCCGAACCCTGGTCAAAATATGTTTGAAAAGTGGGGAGGCACCGAGTGCCGACAACATGGACGACATGTCTCGCTAAGCTAAGCTGCAAATCGGGTTGCAGCAACGAGCGTGGAACGAGTCAGTGGCAAAGGTTACGCGCGCGTTCAGTTCGTGCCCATCGTCAAAATGGAAATTGAAATAGAAATTGAAATTGCGGCGACCGCGACGCCCGGCTTTCGGTCAGTAGCTGTCGACGCAGCCGCAACAGCAGCAACAATTTCGAGTATGATTTATGAGCCGAGCAATAGCAGTTGATTAATCGCCGGCAAATACAATTTGACGGCATTTAGTTCACTTAACATGCATTTCAAATATTCATTCAATAAGCACTTAAAATGCCTCAAATAATTTTAAGCAAGTGCAAAAATTGGCTTATCGGCACTATATCTAGCTCTCGCTCTCACTCCCACTGTACGTCAATTGTACTGCAAACGAGTTGGAACTTGGATAGGCCAAACAGGAGAGAGCGAGAAAACAAGTGTGATCATACGCCTGCTGTTACTCGTTGCTTTGTTTTCTATTTCATTTATACTTAAGCGCTGCCTGCCTACATTACTTATGCACATACATACACACACACATATCTGCATGAATACAGTTGCTATTACACTACAATATCTAGTATAACCGTTTAACATATGTATGTCTGTACATATGTATGTCATTAGAATAAATAAATGAAATCGATAACAGCGTCTTACTTTTAACAGCAGTCATTGTCGGCGGCATGTTGGCACTTTTACATTGCACTTATGATAATCTGACAACTCTGCCGAGGTGTCTCTAGGTTAAAAAGAGACTTTGTAACCTTCAGTGGGCCAGAGACCCAAAACATACACACACACACACACACGTGAACACCCCCTTTGTGAATTGAGCCCAGACGCGGCAAAGATTTTCCCTTTTTTTCACTCATTTTTTTCGCTCTTGCATATCAAATAAAAAAAGGCGCACAAAAATTGTGGCAAGTGCAAAGTAAAAGTGCAAGCACGTGCATTATGCAAAAACATGCATAAATACATACACAGTCACATTTACATACATATGTATGTATGTGCATGCATACATACATGCATGTTAACATTAACAGTGCTGTGTGTATTTGTTTTTCTGCTGTTGCCAGAGCCTCCTCAGTAGACATTGACCTTAATGCTGATACATAGTTTATGTGTACATAGAGGCATACGAAAACGAACAGACTTGCATACACACATAGATGCATATGTATGTTATATACAGATATCAGCAACTCATGTATTCACACATACTTACGCCTTGCGCAGCCAACTTAGCAAGTGCTTGATGTTTCTGCTGGTTATAAAATCAAGAAAATATTACATATGAGCAGCTGAATGGGATTGCGACATCGTAATTGTCTAAGGCTATATACAAATTTCGGATGGTTAGTCAAGTTTCTAAGCCTGCATACACATTATATCCTGTTAACCGGTTTCTGATTATCGTAATACCATATCACAGTCACACGCAACCTCGCGCGCACCCCGCTTTTTCATTAACAAGTTGATTGAAATATTCATTATTTATTATAGAACGAATCCAGCTACTCATACACTCAACCAGTTTTCTATCTATTTGTTCAATCTGTAACTGGTTGAGAGCTTCAATGTTATTTTCAACTTTGCTTCTTTGTTCACTCTATCTGCCTTTATAATGCCCTAGACGTACCCAGAAGCATGCAACAGCTTTGCCTCAGCATAACACTTTTGGCGCCACTTGTTTTCATTGTGCGAAAAGTATGCTCCACACTTAACTAAATCAGAAAAAAAAGAAAATGGCAAAAAAAGTAAATAAAGTCTAAACGCATTCCAAGTTGGATGGCAGCACTGACTTTTTATTCTGAATGGGTGGCGCTGTTAGTCTGGCAACGCCGGAAGCCGGCGCCTTTGCGTGCCAGGTGTAAATGCAGCAAGTGCAAATGAGGCAAATTTCAAAGTCAAGTTTACACCACGCAGCAAATGTTTTGTGCTCCAGCACGCCCACAAGCAGCCGGTACCTCCTGCCCCTCCCGCTTTACCAACACTCGCACTGTAAAGCTTATTTCACGCCTTTTATAAAGGCGCTTGCTATGCGCCACAGTTCTGCTCGCTAGAGTTAAAGATGCCAAGTCTCAACGGGTAAATACAGTGCGCTTCATCTAATTGATACCACTTTGTTTTATATAGCATCAATCAATATGCAAGTAATAAGAGTACAATATTTTGTCATTAAATTGTTTGGGATTCTAAATATTTTCTAGATATACGAGATATATATAATTATACTTAAAATGCTTAAGTTGTCCTTTTCGATTTTGGACTCAATTCTGCATGTTATATGTTCTATTTTTCATAAGTTAATGTATCTCCGGCACCAAATTTCAGAAAACATACAATTTGGTGTGAATATATAAATTGTTTCTATAAGTATGACGCACATTGTACTTGGCAACCGGTAAATGTGATGCGCTTCGCGTTTTTATTTTTCCCCGTCACTGACTTTCCCACGCCTTTATTACATACTTACTCTCCCTCTCGCTCTCTGCCCCATTTTAAATACATATGTTAGACTAACGGCGAAGTAAGCTTTGAGGAGTCGTGTGGGATTGAGGCGTCGCTATGTAGGTAAGTAAAAAAGAAAAAGCAAAAACAAACAGTGTAAAAACTGTAAAATAAAAATGCAAGAATTGTTCTAAATCTACTGGGAAGAAGGCCGGACGAAAGGCGACGCGGCGATAAGTGAAAGTGCAGAAACCAAGAAAACGCCAACTGAAGAGGTTGCGAGCGCAAAGAAGACATCGCAAAAACAAAAGAGCGAAGACAAGTAGCGCAAGTGTGAAGACTTTCAGTCACAAAAAACTGTGAACATCGTAAGAGAACGAGCTGACAAAATGGAATTGCCAGCAATAAGCAGATAACTACAATAGGAATTGTAAATTAATTTTCATCTATGTTTGTATCTGTGTATGCATAACGTATGTAAGAAATCTATTTAGTGAATGTGTGTAGGTGACGTACAATGCCTTCCCGCACTCCTGGGCGCATGTGTTGCTCTTTGTAATTGACGCAAAACAAAAAGAAGATGAAGAAGAAACTTTCATTTGCCTTTTTGTAATTAATTAACAGTTGCCCGTTGCATGTACAGAGCAAATCCGTAAAGAAGCATGCATGTGTGTATATCCGCGCATATGTATGCATGCATAAACAGTCAAGTACATAGCGTATTTCCGTGTGTACATGTGTGAATGCTGTCACATGCATGCGCGAGTCCTGTGAGTCCTGCAATACATAAACGGCCGCACACACGTAAACGTACACGCGCGCATATGTATATACTCTCACGCACACACATGAGCACCCGTTACAAATCTCCTGTGTGTGTATTTGCGAGAATCCACAATACACGTAGTATACATACATACATGTATCTGCGTGTATGTGAACGTGTAGGGGTGAAACGAGTTCCATGCGGATAAACATAGCACACAAACGTGGGCGTGGCCAAAAATGTCCCGTATGCTGCGTCTGCACGCTACTCCACGAGCGTGTGAGCGAGACGCATGCACTCGCTTTAAATAACTCTCCCAAAAAGCGTTTGACGATTGTTTCGTATAGATGTGTGTGTGTGTGTGTGTGTGAGTGTGTGGTGGTCGCTTTACTGCTTCACTGTTATGCTAATGCAGAGGACACTAGAGCAGGATAGACTATTCCTGACAAGGACGACTGCGAGTTGTGATATATGCCGTGATTTGCGTTTATTGTAAATTTATGAAATGTCCGTATATGCATGGGGTTAAATAAATAAGTGAATGGAGAAACACTACACAAAATAACAGAAAAGTATATTTCAGTAGGCCGGCAGTTATGCTTTACCTATATTTAATATCTTCGAATCCGAAATGCGTATATCTGAATATCAAAGAAACTAATGCATCTCATTTGATAGTTTAAGACGGGTTCGAATTATCATATGGTTAAAAATACTTGCATAAATCCCTCAATTTTAAACGCATCTTAATTTTAAATCTTGAGCCAAAGCACTTCCACGAAGTTGCGTATTTTTATCGCTGCGTGTAGCTTACGACGAATTCCGAGAGAGAGCGCTGCAATATCTAATCAAAATTGCGGTAACAGACTCTATTGGTCGTTAACAGTGATATATAACAGTCTCGCATTTTTGCGTTAACAGAGATAACATTGCGTTATTTCGTTTTTAGCTTATTGAAATAAATTCATAACCTTCTAGTTTTATAATTATGAAGTCATATTTATTGATTTACGCTTTATACGATAAGCGCTTAGTTAATAGTGACTACAATCTAACCAAATATGTTGATCATATTTCGATGACTTGTACTGTTATTGTAAGAAAACTGTTAATCTTGCGCAATTTATATTTTTGTTATAGCGGTGTGAAACAGAAAACAAAGTAAATAACGTCATGTGCGCTATTTATATATATTAAAAATATAAAAAGTTTACTTGCTTACTAGTCAATGAAATTAATCAATCAATTGAATGTGAATGTAACCTACAAACCATTAATGAAGTTGATATTTAAATCCTCAACTGCAGCGGCTTTCGCATTTTGTTACACGTTCGTGTATCGCACGACCGCCACATTTTTTCGATATCAGAATCAGCAGCCGCCACCCTCGCACACTCACACTCTCGTATTGATATTGACGACGACATCGTCATTCCGTTTAAATTCCTCGAAATTCCTTATTTATTTTTTGTTAAATTGGCGCGTGCTGCATTGTTAAGAGCAACCAAAGGTAGCCAACACAGCAAGCCTGCAACACCCAACAGGCTCAGCAAGATAACAACACAATAAACAAGTGAGTAATGCGCAACAACATAACGTACACAACAAAAAAAAGAAGAAAAAATGAAAAAGAAACCAAGCGGCCCGCCTCTCTTCACCTTCGTTTTCGTCTTGCACTTTGTTTTTGTCAGCCGCTGCCTGCATTAGTCATACACAAATTTGGAATAGTGTTTTTCAGCTTTGTTTGTATGTGTACGCTTGCATGTGAGAAGGATTCTGTTTTATGTTTATGATTTTGTGGACTTCTCTGTTTGGGTGTTGATCGATAAAAACGATGAATTAATAAGTCTGAGCTTCGTGACGTCACTCGCAATTGACTCCCAATCGTGTCTTTACAGCTACAGTAGCAAAACAGAAGAAACAACAGAACCACATCCATGGCAGCCGGCACCACACTGCAGAAGGCCATCGATCTGGTGACGAAGGCCACCGAGGAGGATCGCAACAAGAATTATGCAGAGGCGCTGCGTCTCTATGAGCACGGTGTAGAATATTTTCTGCATACCATCAAATGTAAGTAGACGCCCCCTTCTTTAGCTGCTATCTGACGGCATTTTTGCAGATGAGGCACAGGGCGAGAAGGCCAAGGACTCGATTCGAGCCAAATGTCTACAGTACTTGGATCGTGCTGAGAAACTCAAGGAATACCTGAAAAAGGGCAAGAAGAAACCTATTAAGGAGGGCGGCGAAAGTAGTTCCAAGGACGACAAGGACAAAAAGAGCGACAGCGACGACGAGGACGGCGATGATCCAGAGAAAAAGAAGCTACAAAGCAAGCTAGAAGGTGCGATCGTTATTGAGAAGCCACACGTTCAGTGGTCCGATGTGGCTGGGCTCGATGCAGCTAAGGAGGCACTCAAAGAAGCTGTCATCTTGCCAATCAAGTTTCCGCAGCTTTTTACCGGCAAGCGCATACCCTGGAAGGGTATTTTGCTATTCGGTCCTCCTGGCACGGGCAAATCGTATTTGGCTAAGGCAGTTGCCACCGAGGCGAATCGTTCCACATTCTTTTCCGTATCCAGCTCCGATCTGATGTCCAAATGGCTGGGCGAGTCCGAGAAGCTGGTGAAGAATCTCTTCGAACTGGCACGCCAGCACAAGCCATCTATTATATTCATTGACGAGATTGATTCCATGTGCTCAGCCCGTTCGGACAACGAGAACGACAGCGTGCGTCGCATCAAGACCGAGTTTCTAGTCCAAATGCAGGGCGTGGGCAATGACACCGATGGTATTCTAGTTCTCGGCGCCACCAATATACCCTGGGTATTAGATTCGGCTATACGCAGGCGTTTCGAAAAGCGTATCTACATTCCCTTGCCGGAAGCGCATGCGCGCCTCGTCATGTTCAAAATACATTTGGGCAATACAACGCACGTGTTAACCGAACAGGATCTCAAGGAGCTGGCCGGCAAAACCGAAGGGTAAGCTACGACGATTGTAGTAGTAAATTTGAATGAAATCATATGTCTCGTTCAACTGCAGCTATTCAGGCGCCGATATATCGATTGTAGTGCGCGATGCGCTTATGGAGCCGGTGCGCAAGGTCCAAACGGCCACACACTTTAAACGCGTCTCTGGGCCATGCCCGAGCAACAAGGAACAGATTGTTGACGATCTGTTGGTGCCCTGTTCGCCAGGCGATGCGGGCGCCGTCGAAATGAACTGGATGGATGTGCCCAGCGACAAGCTCTTCGAACCGCCCGTAACTATGGTGCGTGGTTAAACTTATGTGCTACTAAGTCCGATGCTAATTCTATCTTCTCTTATATTTTGCTGTATAGCGCGATATGCTCAAGTCCTTGTCACGTACGAAACCCACTGTCAACGAGGAGGATTTGACAAAGCTGCGCAAGTTCACAGAAGACTTTGGTCAGGAGGGTTAAGCCGATGCCAACGGAGAATACTAAAGTCTATGTCGCCATCATCATCAACAGCTAATTCTAATTGTTGCCTATTGCATAAACACGATAAACACGCGCTGGCTAAATGGATCCCACACACACAGAAACACACACAGACTATATATATGCATATATATATATATTAATGTTTTTCTATGCCTTTCAGTTTTTTTTTTGATCACATACACGATTAATATTTATATATATATATGCCTTGCTGATTGATCGTTGGTTTATATGGTTAAGATTGTAATTCAAGTTTTGTGGCTTGCAACACTTTCCCCATCCCCTCTCGGCTGCTGCTGTTGTTGCAAGCAGAAGTAGAAGAAGAAGAAAGAAAAAGAAGCTGATGTATTTTTATACTCTTAATGTTAAGTGAAAACCCGAAATGGAACCGAGTGTAATTTATGAAATATGTGTTACAGTTTAAGCGCGCGTGCGTGTGTGTGTGTGTGTGTGTGTGCGGCTGTGTTTGTGTGTGTGTCGAGTGTTTGTTAAGTGTATGCCACATGCGCCGCTGCCTTCACACCTGGACACCTGCCCGCCTCCTCGATCCAGCCAGACATACAGACAGACGAACTGACAGACAGTTGGCCAATCAACTAGTTTACCAACATAAAAAGCAAGCAACCTATTTTAAATGTAACCGATCAAAAACAAAACAACAAAAATAAACTTATATTGATGTGCTTCTTGCTAGCATCACGAAAACTACAGCGTGACTCGACTGCAACATGCCCTGTTAAGAAAGAGAAAAAAAGAGAAGAAAGAGAAAAAAAAACACATTCGAATTGCTTATCTAAATTTTTAAATATTGCCTTATTTCTTCTCGTCTCGGTCATTCAATTCTTTTTTGTTTCTCCGTTTATGCTTAGAAATTAAAAATTGTTAAATAAATATATTATGAATCTATAAGTATTTTAATCAAGATCCAAGCAATTTGGCATTCGAAATTGTATTTAGCATTTAAGCAAGATGTACGAAATAGAGCCTGTTGGACGACATGTATCCTTAAGATAGACATTGAGACGGAGAGACAAACTCTTGGGAAATATATATAGTGTATTATGCAAGTAGAGCATATAGATTCTTATCATTAGAGACACAGAAGTCCTATCCATCCATTTAACTGTCTAATCGAACTGGTTCTGTTTTGAAGCTTTCCAATTGAAACTTGGCATGGAAACGAGTTTGGACTGACAGTTGCACATATGTTGAAATCATCGATCGGACATGGGAATACTACTTATATACTCCATATATATATCCTATATAGTTGCTAAGGTGACTGCATTGATAGTGATATCTATTCAACTTGTTCATATATATTTACTATATAGATATATAAACATATACTGAGGCAGCCCGAAAGTATGCTTGTTCTAGTCAAGCGTTATCTGCTAGAGAATCGTAATCAGAAATCATGATATCTAAAAATGATTCATAGAACTGCAAATGAAACACATTATATTAAAGTGGAAAAAACCTTTTTAATAAATGTGATTCAGGTATCAAAAGTCGCTTGAAATGCTTTTGCGGAGTTGATCAAGAAAATGTTTCAGTCCATTATATTTTATGGTTAAGAGCGAGACAGATATATGCATCGAAACAATGCAAAATATGCACACAAACTATGCCAGCAAAGCATACAAATCATTTCCATACCCTGTAAAACCAACTAATAGTTAGGCAAGGGCTTTTGGCTTATATGAATTTATTTGTAACAGACACAGGTGGAGTATATAAGGCTGGAGAATATGAATTGTAGCTAGACTCACTCTTTCTCCCTCTCTCTATTTATCTATCTATCACTATACATAATATCAAATGGGGTATATTGGTTCGCAAATAGAATTTATCACATTTCAAAAAGCTTCAAGGCTTTAAAAACTTAAATATTTTTCTATAAAAAAAAATAAAGTTTCAATATTTCTAAAGACAGCTGCGTACAGGGTATCTTTGATTCCACCTCGTTGTGAGTACCTTTTGTGGTGCGTGCTTAAATTTGCGATCGGCCAGTTAAGTGGGTCAAATTAGAACTTTCTGCGCGCAGCGAAGCAGCGCGTGGTTCGATCTTTAATAGAGCCAATTGCTGTCTTTGTCTCTAATGCAGACTATAAATTTAGCCCACCTGCCCCTACGGCCCCTACTGCTCCACTTTAATTATATTCACCAAACTACTCAACTAGGTGAGCTCCTCCCTGAATAGACAATTTATCATATAAACATTTAAGGCGTTATAATAATTAGCAATTTGTCAAGTTTGTATAAATAACTCTTCCATATTATATAGCTGTCATAGTAGCTTCAAGCCTAAGCTAAAGTTCCATTATAGGTTAATTGTCTTGCCTAAATCTTTAATGTATGCTTTGAAAAATGAGCTACTGTATAGCTTCCTATTACTAGTTTTACTATATGATATATAGAATTCATTTCTATGACAAATAGATCTGCTTAATTAAATCTTATAAAAGTCTCGCTATATCACATAGCAAATAGAAAGAATCGAATAAGGTCGGTTCTATAAAGTCTCGTCTTATTTAATGATTATACACGTAAGTTTAGGCATACTCTGATTGAATCCTACTCTAATATATATATTATACTCTATTATATCATTCTATTTCGAACTATCTTGATCAACTTCAGTTTCGCTGTTTCAAGTGAAACTGATTTGATATATTAGTCGAATAGGCTCAATGCCAGTTAGGGTATACAGACTTCGATTTAAGAAGAAGGTACATGTTAAGCCCTGAACATTTTCAAAATAAGGTATGTTGATGTTGGTGAAGTGTATGCAACAGGTTGATGAAGACGTAGCTGCTTCTATTTGTCTTTTCTGTCTGTATGTATGAAACCTCTTGAGGTATATAGCAAACTTTCTTGTAGATTATTTATAATTTATTATTATTTAAAAAAGTTACGATAATAAGCTCAAAAATTATAGTGTTCTGGGAACTCGAAGAGAAGAGTAAAATTGGTGTATTTATATATATATATATATATATATAAATATTATGTAAAATATATATATATAAAGACACATTTAGAGCAAGTTTATTACAGGTCGGCGCGTAGTTCAGGGTATTTGATAGTCGGGCACTATTGTTTAGAGTCCACCTCCCACTTTCCGTTTGTCTGCTTGCCTTTGGGCTTTTTGCAATCGTACGTGGTGCGCCGCAACGAGTGGCCAACGCGTGCAAACAATTCGGGCAACCGAAGTCGAAGCCGAAGTTGAAGCTGAAGCTTGAGCCGACACAGGCGGCAGCGCTGCTGCGACTGTTTGCCGCTGCTTTGATTCGGTCGGGCTTTGATTTGGGGGCTTCGTGTGGCTTGGCTGCGCTTCGCCGTTTCAGTTGATCTTTAGCCGCGACGCGGTGCGGTTCGTGTTTTTGCATTTCGCTTTGATTTCGCTTTAGCAGCGGCTAATTTGCAGCGTTTGCGCTTTACGCGCTGCATCTTAAGATATTTGTGTCTGCTTCTTTTTTTTTCGGTTCATGCTTTGCGCAAGTTTGGAAAAGAAAGAAAAAATACAACATATTTAACAATAATACGAGTAAAAAGTGCGTAATTGCAGCTGCTGCGTGTTTGTTTATATTTTTTGTTTTTGTTTTTGTTTTGGTTTTGCTTGCACTTTTGGCTGCGACTGCGACGGCGACGTCGACTGCGAGCTCCAACTTTGGTTTTGGCTTTGGCTTTGGCTTTGGCCTGCCCTTTTTGGTACCTTTGTCTTTCAATTGTCTGCATATGTGTTGTTGTTATTGTTGGTGTTGTGAAGCGCAACTTTCACGCGCTTCGAGTGAAACTGTAAATCGAGCCCGGACACCAAAGCAGAAGCAGCAGCCGCAGCCGAAGCCTCGTCTCATGGCATCTTTGGCTTATCACAAAATACAAAAACAAGAAGAAGAAAAAGTTAACTTACATTTGTTATACACATATTACAGCTTTAATAGCTTTGTTGGGCGTCCAGTATTTTAATTACATTTTTTATGGTTAATTTATGTTTTTTTTTGTTTCATTTCATTTTGTGCACCTGCCGTTCAAGTTTGTCGCTTAAGTCTTTTGCTTACTGCTTGCACTGCTTGCCTGCTGCAGTTGCTGTGTGATATTGATATTATGCATATTTGTTGCTGTTGTTGCTGCTGCTGCTGTTGTAGCTATAAACCCGTTTGTTTGCAGCCTGCAGCCTGCAGCATGCATTCAGCAGCAGCAACAACAACGACAAATAATTTTAACAAATTTATAAATAATAATAAGAAAATAAAAAAAAAAAATTCAGGCTGACATTGACACGAATTGCAGAGCGAGCGACCAAAGAGACAAAAGGCAGCAGCCAATTCATGGCTTAAAGTCTAAATCAACAAAACTGCAAACGCACAACAAATAAAAACTAGTAGCAGCTTTTCTCTTAATGTGCTCAACTAGCAGTTACCCTGTTCTAACTGAAACTAACTTCAGTATGATATGAAATTCATTTGGGATACATACCAAATATATTTATGGATAGATGCACAAATGCCTTTCACAGGTGTAAATACGTGAGCTACAATAGATCTGAAGTTGTATGAGATATTATATTTGTGTGACCTGCTTACAGGGTATTCGTGACTGCATGCAAGCCGTTTTTTCATTTTGAAAATTGTTTTCAATTAAAGTGCATAAATTCCTTCATTGCCACTCAAAAAAAAATCATTTAAAATTTAGTTAAACACTTTATATATCAAGCCGTTGTTGTTGCTTTTGAATAACACGACTTAACATCATTTGCGTGCTGTAAACGGCCAATGATTGAGACTTTATGTTGCTGCTGTTGTTGCTGTTGACATCAGCAAGGTCGTCAGTCAATTGGGCGCAACAAGTGCTGGAAAAATCACTGCGACACATAACTTTCAAATTGTTTATTTTCACTTGAAAATTGTCTCGTTAATGGCTGAACTTTGCGTTGCGTTACAAGGTTTAACCATTGGAACCAAGGAAATTCAAAACTTATTTCCTTTTCGCATATACCCAAATAACGTGCATTAAGCGATTGACGTAAGCTACCAAAAGCATTTTTACAACTGCTAAGCTTTAACTCAACTCTTCCAATTAATAAGATTCGACAAGTGCTGAGAAAACTTTTCTATATATAATGATAT